AAGTCAATGCCGTGAGCAGGCGAGGACCTTTCCACGTTCTCCGCCACAAAAGGAAATGGCTGAAGGTACTGGCGGCATGAGTTTGCAAGTGCGTAACGTTCAAGCCCGCGTTCAACAGTTAAAATTTCCTTTGTCATGCCTTTATCTTTCAGCTCTGATAGCAGTGATGGTGTCATCTATTTAGGGGTCACTAGAGTGTCTGCTAAAACACTTCCTTTGGAGAGTCAAACGTGAGTTTTTTTTATGTTTCCTTCTTTAACTGATGTTTTGTCATTTTCACCAAGCAATCATAGACTGTGGCGTTAGAAAACAGATTATAGACTGCAAAACAGTTTTTTTTTTTATTCTTAAAATCAATAAAGACCCCAGACCTTTCCTTTGACTGCTCACATGTATCTAATACGCAAACATACTTACTGAATGGAACATGGCGGCTTCTATTATCCTAGCTTGCCTGAGACCACATCCGCATCTTAGCATTTTTCACACGGTTTGGGAAAGCAATCAAAATTAAAGATTCAAGCCGGTGTGCATATCAAAAAGACTTCTTAACATGTGTCGCCGGTTAGTATTTAGCTACACTAAAGTCTGTGCCTAATCTGCATGGTACGTTCATAAACAAGACAACAGGAAAGATCGTATCAATACCGCAAGCAGGCGACGACCTTTCCACGTTTTCCGCCACAAAAAACTGGCTGAAGGTACTAGTGGCATGAGTTTGCAAGTGTATAACGTTCAAGCCCGCGTTCAAGAGTTAAACTTTCCTTTGTCTTGCCTTCATCTCTCAGCTCTTATAGCAGTGATGACGTCATCTACTTAGGGGACACTAGGGGGTCTGCCAAACCACTTCCTTTGGAGAGTCGAACGTGATTTTTTTATGTTTTCTTCTTTAATGACGTTTTGTCATTTTGAGCGAGAAATCAAAGACCACGGCGTTTTTCCTCAAAATCAGTAAAGAAATCGGTAAAGCGTGGCGAAAGAGTCTTCCGCCCGCAATGCGCGCGAGCCCACACGCCCATCTCTTCCTAGTCTCTCTCGCCGTTTTCAGTCCGTTTTCATTCTCCCTCCAGACCTTTTCTTTGACGCAGACATACTGAGTTATTTGCAGTCTGAATAGATTACCACATCCTGCTTAAATAAATCCAACATGTATCAGTCGCACATATTGTTTTCGAGCTTGATTCTATTTACCACGTTGAACAACACAGAATTCACATGCATTGTAATGAGCGTTCCTTTTTAGCCTATGCCCTTATATTGTCGTATATAACCATGAGTATTTTTAATTTAGCTCTACAAGTTGCTCAGGTGACGGCAATAGGAAAGATTCATCGTCTGATGAAAGCTCTCAGGTATTCATTATCAAATTCTTGCAATTCTTATAAGCACGCACTAAATTTCCAAACACCTCCCATCCTTCTGTAAAAGTAAATAGTTAATAATTAGTACATTAGAGTTCTCTTGCCACAGTCCTGGCTCGCTCAAAGCAATTTAGCTCACACTTGACAAAATCGATGTAGATGATCAATTCCATCTGATGAAAACAAAATGCCATTATTGGGTGAAAGTGAAATAGATGAATGCAGTGTACAGTATTGGAACGATAATCCATTGCTACCAGTGTATGAAATGGGTCGATGAAGTAGCATAACCAAAGAAGAAGCCGTTGATATCCTTTTGAGCTCAGACATCCCAAGTTCAAAAGCATCACGGGATGTACCCACGTCAATATCAAAGAATTTGCTTTTTGTTGTCCATTTGGAGGCACCACATGCGAAAACTGTGAAGAACCTACTTGCCGATGATTTGGGTGCCTGCCATGGAACGGGGACAAAGACATTTTTATTCAAGGAGGCCGAGCAAAAAGAAACCGCTGACCAAAGTCACAGAGGAAATGTTTGGAGCCGCTAATGTGTTCAAGTGCTCGCGGTCGTTTTACCACAATCAGAGTGACCCAGAGTTACTTAGAATACTCATACATCTTAGAGGTAGGTACCCTGATGGTCTTTATATCTTGGCCACCATATACAACTAACTGTTAGGTCGAATTCCAAAATTCGGGTAAACTGAAACATTAAGAAGTTGTCAGATGAAGTTCGCGAAACTGGGTGCTACCATCGGACATTTGCGGAACCCTTCAGGGAACCTTATAAATTAGTTAGTTGAAGTCGGAAGTTTTGCGATAAAGTGAACGCGTTGTACAGTAACAGGGATTGGTATTACTCTCGTACAATCACAATCGAGTAGTTTTTAAACAATATTTTGTTCAACTAAACGTTACGAATGTCTGATTTGATGACGAAATGCGACTTTTTTTTTAGTTAGGTAGCGACGGCAAAGAAAACAGTATGGCCTTGGTTCAATATGTTTTGGACAATGTGTAGCGCCAAGTAAAAGTTCAACCCCATGGAAACAGCAAGAGCCAAAAGCCATTTTATCGCACGTCATATACAATACAGCAGCGACTTGAACAACTCTCAGAAACAGNTGGCAGTTATTATGAGTTGTCATCGACAATGATTAAGCTACATGCACCGATTCAAAACGTTCTTGTATATGGAACCGACGGCGAGAAGGCCCTTGCAGAAGGATTTGGACGGCCGCTCCCTTATGCGTTGCACCTCATGTGCGACATCCACATGAAGGACAACATTTGCTCAAAATTGGCCGAGCTGGGAATACCAGCTGTCGTCGCTGAAGAGTTTCGAATGGATATTTTTGGAAAAAATATCGGGACCAATAGACAGCCCGGATTAATTGATTGTTTTACACCTGGCGAGTTCGATGAGAAAATGCAGTCGTTAAAGGAGTCCTGGGAGAGACGCCATGCCCAAGGCAAACGTTTCTTGGATTATTTCTTGAAGTATAAGGCAGACCCGATTAAACAAACGATGACGGCAGAAGTTCGTTCCATGGCGGGCCTTGGCTTCCCACCAGGCGTCTATGATCAAAATGGTAACGAGTGCATGAACTCGGTTCTTCAAAGAGAAAAGGCAAGAAGTGGTAAGAAGCGATTGTCACTACCTGCTTGCGTCCGACTTATACGACAAACCGTAAAGCGACAGCAAACGGAGGAGGAACTGGCTTTGATAGGTACAGGAGAGTTGAAAGTTGATGCCATGTATGACGATATGAAAGTCCCAGAGAGAGTGTTCTATCGGAAATCTGTCAAACAGAAACAGGCGGTTCTAAAGAAATTTAACAATCATGAAGTAAGACCTACTGATGACGTGTTGCCAGGCACTGAGGAGGATGAGTGCATTCGTAACAATTTGTTGTCTATTTCTGTGGAACAGTCTGGGATTATTCGTGTCCCATTCGATGTCTTGAAAGTAATGTTCCAAAAGGCTGGCGTACATCAATCGCGCGGCAAAGAGGCCATTGTGACAGCACCTGGAGCTAATGCCTTTACTGAACACTATGTTAAATAGGAGGAAGGCTCTCCTTATGTCGTTAAAACCAATTCTTCAAGCGTTACGGAGTGTACTACGAACGCAGCGATACCGGTATCCCGTACACAGGTTACGGCTTGTGCTCTCATACAATTGCTGTTGCTGAACAGTCCAATACGGAGAATTTCTTTCACTGGTACAAGGTAAACAAACAGAGCTCACCAAACATTTCGGCCCTCTCCCAAATGGACTTGCCTACAGGTCGAGGAACAAAGAGGACGAATTCCACTCAGGTTCGAAAAGGAACAAAAAACAACAACAAAAGGGTGAGAACCGTTGTAGAAAAGTACATTACCGCTGTTATCGCACCTGTCACAGACGGCTTCGCCGCATCAGCTACAGTGGATTCCCTACCTCAGACGCAATCTCTTCTACATGTGAGCTTTTCAAAGATGTTACGTGTTTGTTTATTATATGTTTGTTCTGTTATACAGATAATGTCAAAAGCATATACCAATTTCTGATTCTTACTCTATTTTGTAGGTGTTATAGAAAACCAAATTATTCGCGACAATATACCGGCTGTCATTGTATCTTACAGTTAGTCCAGAAAATCGATCGCATATGAACTCATAGCCATTGAGGCACGCAGTATTGAATTGGCTATTGAGATGTGGTGGATTATATTATTTACAGAATTGATTAATTAGAATTATTCGCCAAGGCTAAGTAAACAATGACAAAGTACTGTAAATATTTATCAATTATTAATCAAGCCTGAATAAACAAGAGAATATATACTAATGTCGCTGCACGGGAATTCATATGAGATCATTAGACCTTCTCTTAGCCTATTTGTTTTGTTGTTATACCATCTATCGTTTTCTTCGTAGGATGAACAGCCCAGTCCTGATGCTCTTCTGTCTCCGCCACGCATGCAGGAAGGGGCTTGCCAACTTGCTCTACTGCAGTTTTGCAATCCGTTGGTGAAGAAATGTTACGGGTGTGGCCAGATGCTAAAACATGTATCTGTAAATGACAATCGGCTTACCGTCAATTCCTCCTCCTCCTCGTGATTTTGTTATTTTCAGTCAAAGAGGCAGTATTGGCAGAATGGGGTTCAGAAACGAGGCCAGTTAACAAACGTTTACTTTCATTGTATGGCCAATTGCGTCAGGTTGATGCAACCTGCGTTTATACCGTTCTTGGTATATATTCCAAATGCTTTATATTCCCATTTAAAACAAGTTCACAGGGAGCACGTTGTGAAGGAGCTGCAAATTCCCCTAACCCTCTCATAAGTGCCAAAACTCCGCATTTCACGTATTAGAAACGTGCGAGCAGTAAAGGAAAAGTCTGGAACGAGACTGAAAACGGCGAGAGAGACTAGGTGGAGATCCTTTTCCGTTCCGAGTGCATTAGTTTTCCACTGTGACCACTGCCACCTTTCGACGCCATCTTGCTATTCACAGTGTAACTTAAAAAATTCAAGCTTGAATTTTGAATGTCGATTCGAAAGACTGGCGCATATACCGTCGTGACAGTGTCCGTTTAAGGGATGGCTCTCGTTAAATTTACAGGGAGTTAGTTTCTCACATTTGATCAATTGCCTAAGTGGCATGTATTGAATAAATTTCAATAGAATAGATTTTTTACGCCAAAGTTTTAACCAGTTTAGTACGAACTGAACGAGATATCGTGTAAACAAAGGTCATTAGTGGAAAAAAGTAAAGGTTAAGTTCACTGTTTTAGCAGACTCTCACGTGTAGAAAGATTCCAATGTTGTCATTTTCAACATTGAACAAGCAAGTGACATTACACGTTTCTAAAGAAATAGACTGCACCCCTCTAAAGTAAAAGTAGAGTCCAGAGTCAATTGAGTATTTGTCGATCTCGTTACCTTAACAATATATTTCAAGTTTAACAAGTGCTTTGCGTTTTGTTTCTGCTTAAATCAAAACTGCTTAAGGTAAAATGGAGATAACCACCGACAGTATTTCAGCTACGTGTGGCTGCATTAACAGGAATGGATGATAACAACTATTAACTAAGGGAGTGCGAACCTCTCTCGTTTGGATGGTCCTTAACCTAACCTTCGGGCTCAAGGTTTTTAACGTTAAAATGAATTTTACTATTCAGAAGTATTTTGAGTGAAATACTCCGTGTATAATTCGCATTCTGACTACATTTCTTGAAGATCGGCCGCCTTACCCCTTTTTTCGTACATTTTCGATCCATTGTAAAAATGCACATACCTGACCTGCTGAAGTTCTGTGACCGTAGATCCCGACCCTGATCCTGAACCTGAAACGAAGGAAACAGTTACTTCAAAGTAAGAAGTAAAAATATGGGTATGGAAGAAGTTAGGGCTTCAAGAACTGACCCCTTCCACATACTAGACTGGTGTAGCCTCAACTTTCCATTTTACTCTCAAGGAACTCGTACGTTTGCTTTTCATTTCCTTGATAGAAATATTCATGCGAGCACATAGCTCGTTTCGATTTCGCAAAAAGTAGTTTACTTCAAGGTTTTGAATTTAAGGTTAAAACGGTGAGCCCCAAAAACACCTTCAAAAACCACTTTCTAGCACAGAATTTTATCATATCCTGTGCGAAAATGCTTGCAAGTGTTTTGTTGTTCACACCCAAACTTATAACGCGACATGTACTGACAAGGTCTAGTATAAAATAAGTTCCTTTAATGTATTAAGTAGTTTATTTTGTAGTTTATCCTGACGAAGTCTCAGTCGAAGACGAAACCGGTCGATTAATTGACTCAATTAATCCCATAGTGATGCGGATAGTTGTACGTAATTTTGTCGATACTGATTACAGTAAAAGTAAAATTATAGTCCAGAGTCTAGGGTCCAGAGTCCAGAGTCCAGAGTCCAGTCCAGTTCAGAGTCCAGTCCAGTCCAGTCCAGTCCAGAGTCCAGTCCCGGTTTTTTAACCTTGGCCATTAAAATTTAAAGAGAAATCAAGTACTTAATTAGAAATTAAATCCTCTAATGAATTTCTGGTAAAACGTCTCGTAGAAATTTGATATTATTTTTAGTAGAACTGCACACGTTGATCCCTTTTGTTTCTGATTACACCACGCCGCTCCTTTCGGTCTATTCAAGCGGAGACGATTTGCAACTTTTTGAAAAATTTCATCTGACTTTAACGTAAATAATCAGGGAAGACAAATCAATGGAGCGATATGGCATGCAAGCTTTCGTGAAAGGGGACGCTAAGACATTAGAGGTTTTGAAGAATATTCAATTAATTCCCTTAATTTGATAGACCAAATTGGATCTCCGGTCATTTGTGCTCAAACTGAGCACAAGTGAACTTG